GGCTTGTGTATCGAACACAATGCGCCTTTGGCCTCCCAGCAGGGTCCAGATTCCGCCGCGGCGTATGAAGATTGACAAGTACGATTTTCAAGCATCTGAACTCTGTGACCAAAAGGTGTTTTCCTCCACGAGTGTCGCACATCCCACTGATTTTTGACATTGCCAGAGGCGGATACAAACCTCATAACTTGGGGTAAGTCGGCATGTGTTATTAATTTACGAGCTTATACAGATCAACATTATATGTTATTTGCCCGTTTTGGAGATAAAAAATGGTTGCCTAGATTTCAAGGCAGCCGGGGTGGCGAATCTGCTACTGTATCTGCTGTTCGCCTTTCGAGCGTGCCTAACCACGGAACTGGGACGAAGAAGCAATGGAGCTTTGCGGTATCTCAGCAGGCAAAAACTCTGACCCCGGCTGTTCAGGTGAATGTCTTTGAATAATGTCGTCTGCGTCTACACGTGTCCACATAAGCTGCAAGAATAATACAAGACATCATTACCCAGCATGTACCTTGTGACTTAAATCCAATACAGACCTGATGGATGCTTACTAGCTTTTCCGAGTCCCTTTAAGCTTTCGATTATTCGTGGGACATCAATACAGACCGGCATCAATACAGACCGGCGTCAATACAGACCGGCGTCATTACATACCAGCACCAACACAGACCGGCATCAATACAGACCGGCATCAAAACAGACCGGCATCAATACAGACCGGCATCAATACAGACCGGCGTCATTACACACCAGCACCAACACAGACCGGCATCAATACAGACCGGCATCAAAACAGACCGGCATCAATACAGACCGGCATCAATACAGACCGGCGTCATTACATACCAGCACCAACACAGACCGGCATCAATACAGACCGGCATCAAAACAGACCGGCATCAATACAGACCGGCATCAATACAGACCGGCGTCATTACATACCAGCATCAATATAGACCGGCATCAATACAGACCTGAATCAAACGCCGGGCACCACTTCCACCGACTGCTAACTTGCCGGTCGGACCGCGGCCCCGATCCGGCCACGACGGGCGCCTGGACCGTGACGCTGTCCACCGAGCTCAATAACAAACACGAGCAGCGATTTCGGGCCGGCGGCCAGTCATGCGGCACGCCCCCGCCATCCCGACGGGCAGACCCAGGGGCGGATCAAGGGGTTGCAGGGTGCGCCGCCACCATCGCCTACCAAACGGCTCTGCTGACACAGGTCTACTATATCCCAGTGGAGAAGTGAGCATTTCCTCCGAGGCTGGTAAGCGTCGGGGCGGTTGGACTCCGTGTACGCCAGCCCTGCCGTCGCCCGTGGCCGAGCGGGAGCGGGTGGAGCTGCAGCCGGCAGCTGCGACGGGGTAACGAGTCGCCGATGGTATCAGGGTGCGCTTCCACCTGTTCTCCGGCACGGAACTGGGGCCGCGTACACGCACGGGGCACCCGGTGGGCGGCCGGGGGCGGGGGCCGGTCGGTGCGCAGCTGGGCTTGATTTTAGGCTGTTCAGGTTTTTCGCATTCTCTTCATCCTTCCGCTTTCATATCTGGGTGAGTGCACTTCATGCTTCGAACTAACTGACCAGTGCTCCGGGGCGAGCTGTATGTAACTGTGAGCAGGTTGTTTTGTGCACACAGTACCACTAGATTCACAGATTTGGTGCCGGTGTTCCGCCAAGAAAAGCGCATCCATCGAAAATAGACCATCCCCAGCAACACAACTGCTGTTTTTTTTTAGTTTCGGTCGATTGGAGGAAGATGTAAAGGGTATAGAGGGAGCTTTGTATCTCCCATTCACGAGGAAATGGTCACAAGGTTCTCGGCATTCCTTGCAAAATTCATTGAATACAACCCCCCCCCCCCCCCTCCAACGTTTGTCTCTGTCTCCGTCTCACAATGGAAGTTGAATGTTTTGTGAGCTAACTAAGTTAAGGAACTTGAAAGCAAAAGCTTAAATTATTATCAAAAGCCTGTGTGCACATTCCGACGATCAAAAGGCCTCCAATGAGCCTTATCGGTTTCCGCATGCGAAAACCCATAACGCTCATTGGAGTCTCACTATATGGCGGAGGGACTGTTTGTTTTTTTAGAGAGAGAATGTGTAAGAAAGCAGGATGAGCTGCAGGTTGCTTGTGGACGGTGGGACGAATCAGAACAGACGGGATGTTCGAATCGGATTTCATTAACCAAATAAGGAGGTTAATTATGGGCCATTTCGTGCACATCGGTCAGCAACTACGCATTTTGACTCAGGGAGGTAACAAGGTTCTCCGCAACCCTCGCAAAATCCTTTGAATTTAGTCAGACTTGCCACACCAAAATAGTGAAAGGCCTCGAAGATTCTACTTCAAACCTCTTTATTAAATCTATGTTTCCACATCCGCCCACCATTCCCCCTAAAACTATCCATAGCCGAGTTTTATGCAACCTCCGACAGACGCCCGCCACTGAGGGAAGGGACACTAGAGGGGAGGGGCCGCTGGGGGGGGCCGGATGGCGCTCCGCCGAACTGGACGGGCGCCGGACACGCGGCTCTTCCTCCAGAAATCCGCCGGGCCGCCGCACGCCCCGCAGGAAATCGCCCGCCACCTGGCCCCGTGACGTCACCAGGGCTGCTGACGTCACGCTGGCGACAGCCAGCTGATCGATGTCTTCATTTCCGCTCGGCTTGGCTCGCGACTTGAACGAGCCCCGAGCGCAGCCCGCGCGGATTAAACGAGCGACAGACGGAACGGTGAGATGGGCTGATTTCGGCGAAGGGTTGGGATTTTAACTTTCTCTCTGCTGTTAGCGGCTCTGGAACTCTTGAGGGACGGGTTACCGGCACTACCTGATGAGCAGACGCATCATTCAGATTATGTTCTGGAATTCAGTATACATGTCAAAATATGTGCGGCTTTGATCTTTAGGGGCCGTGGATACCAGTCACATATTATGGTAATATCAATACTTGTGACTAGTTTTGAGACATTTCGGTGTTCAGATAGGCGGGTACCCATCCCGTTTTTAGTTTCAAGTTTGTGCATTCAGTTTGGATTTTTTCCATCTTCGGATATGCGTTAAAACCGAGCAATGATGTCTTTAATTCAGAGCGTGCCACGTTCACCCATTAACATCATGGATACACTTTAGATTGATATACCTCGTGTTCTTACATTTGGAAAGCATCATATTGACGTGATCAGGATTTCGCCCAGGAGGTGGCCAGATGTGGTCATAGAGGGCTCTGTTTTTTTCGGGACCTGCTTAGGTTCGGGATTTAATTATTGTGCTACAGGAACCCGTTCTTGTCATTTCCCAAGCCCTTCGAAAACCTTAAACTGTTAAAAAATACTGACCCAGGTGCCCCCGCCACTTTCAGGGAAGAGGCATGGCTTTCACGGTCATGTGCCCCCTTGATTACGCCACTGGCCTCGGTGACTTGTGACCCGGAGAGGGTGCCTCGAATTTTGAGTTGGGGGACAGCTTTTCTGGGGCCTCCTTGACAAAATGAGGCCTCCTTATAAGGGGCTTCCTGAAAAGTGTCGTATGCAAGGGGGAGGGGCACAGAAGGCGTGAGCCTCGTATCATACCTAAAATGGATCACATTCAAGTAATAGATCTGGACAATTAAGAAATCAAGAATGGGAGCCTTGTGATTAGTTAAGAAAGAGCCTCGGCAACTTAAAGCAGGGCCTCCTGTGAGAGATATTGTCCTCCTAATGCATACACGGGCCTCTTAATGTATGGCAGTATGTTACTGATTAAATAAGGAGCTTTCAAATCCATCAAAGGAGCATACTCTGTTTTGCATGCGGTTTCGAATCAGCACGCAAAACAGGACATGCTGATGCGAGCCCGCGGCTATCTGAGATTCAAAGAGTCTCCTTTCTAGAAATGAGGCCTCCTGAACATAGGGGTGTCTTCCAGCCCCGAACAGAGGCCTCCTAGCATGTAACGGGGGCTCCAGAGCCAGCAAAGGGTCTTCTTTAACACAGCATTGGGCAAAAATTGGGCCTGATATAGAGCATGACTACCTTATTCGTAAATACAGTATCACGCTCGAAAACGGTCCTCGTTATGCACAACCCAGTCAAGTGAGCCCGAGTTATTGCTCTCTAGCACAGGCATGAGACCGCTTGATCTTAATTTTGGTAATACATGGGTAGCTACAATGCCTTTAGTTTGAGGAGAGGAGCCTTGCAATTTCTGGGTGGGGAGTGGAGGGTGGGGGAACACACTCTTGTCACTCTGACTGTAGGCAAGCGAGGCAACTGTCCCCTGTCCACCTCCTCCGTGTTATGCCGCCCTTGTTCCTGTGAACAAGAGCAGGACACTGTCATCCCTTGAGGCAGGCATAGGATAAGAGGATGTACCAGTACCGGATATGTTGCAATGGGTATCCTAAGCAAGACCAGAGTTAACCACGTGTTATTCACATTGGTGCCGAAAACAAGTTTGTTTTTTTAGCCCCCTGTGCGTATTTTGTGTCGTGCTCTACATTCAAATATTTGTTCCCCTAACGAGATTTTATTAAAAATGTGATAATTTTGTGTAAGATTTTCGTCAAAGGCACAGACATGACGATAGACCGCTCACCACCTGGTGGTACTCTGTCAATGACGCGTTTAAGTTGCCGTGTCTGCAGCATGGACGTCACTGTATGTACTTTCAGGGTGGGGGGGGGGGGGGGCGCTGAGCCTCCCCCAACGCTAACATGAATCCTCCCCAGTGCTGACTTGGGCCACCCCCCTCCCATGCTGACTAGAGCCCGCCCCCCCCGCCATGCTCCTCTGAGCCCCTCACTACATTCGAATAAGGAGGAATACTGGGCCATAAAACTACATAAATTGTTTTACTGTTTGTTATAGTGTCGCACCTAGATGATCACTATTCATATCATGTTCAATTTGCCCCAAATAGTATCCTGTAAGTACCTTGGGCTTTGTCACCGCCAACTCCTTCGTATGGTAAGCCAGTCTGCACATGTTTGACAAGTTTTGCACATGAGAACACCTGGGCTGAATAAGGAACATCTATGGTAATATTTGGCAGCCGTTGAAATAACGGGGGGGGTGTCAATAAAATTTAAACCATGTTTTTCTCAGCATTAGCAAGGATATTTGTCGTACAATCGAGCCTGTGGTGGTTAGTCGAATGACAATTGAAATGGTACATGATCAGTCAAAAGCGGGTAGCCATCATCGATCCCTTATGAAGAGTTATATTTTTCAATTATATATATATATATATATATATAGAAGACTTTTCCTGTGAATTACATCCCACTCCAAGCTTGTCACGAAAGACAGCTTGACATCGCTCTAAAATGTGAAGAATTCCCCGGCAGTAAAACAACTTTGGAATGTACAACACATTTTTTAAAACTTTGTGTTATTTTAGCATCGCGGACGCAGACCACCTTAGCAAAATTTCGAAGAGAAGTTAGATTTTGGGAATGGGTTTGGTAATTTTTTTTCGGTCAGTACTCCCACACCTATTTTAAAAAGAGACACACCTAGTTCGCAACGTTTGCATGCGGCTACAAGGGAAGACGTAGCGTAAGGCTCTAATAATGCTCTAGGTTTTACAATCTGGTTATTTTGAAAGAAGTTCACAGAAGACGGCTTGCTTGCTCTTTCCTAAACATCTGAAAAGATACAATTTGTGGACCTGAATCCATCAAACAGGTGCACTTTAAGATAATATACAACATTCGAGCACTCTTCAATGAACCTCTGTCAGCGACTGTGGGGTGGAGACAACCCTTCGGTATATAGCTTGCGCCTCAGGCTATAGGGGCCATGTAGGGGCCTATAGGGTCCTCGATCCATCAGACCAGAAAGGTAGGTGACCATGTATGGTACAAATGTGAGGGATGCAGCGTTTTGGGGCGCTCTCTTTGTTTATGGGTGCGCCGGCCAGTGATAGGTGTAGCGTTGGATAGTACGTAGGGCTGAGCGACGATGAAGCGGAAGCTGCAATGACAAACCGCCTCTGGAAAACTGCGATGGCAAATCGCCTATGGAGAAGCTGCGATGACAAACCGCTTATGGGAAAACTGCGATGGTAAACCGCCTGTGGGGAATGGGTGATTCTAGTTTTACACGTGGGCTTAATAGACGTGGGCATTCGTCTTTATCATGCATATTTAAGAAATGTGCCAAGTTCACGGTTTAAGTTTTCATTTTGCCCCTCTAATTCTATAAATGATGCATGCCCATATGTGTCGCTTTCTGGAACGATGGCAATGACATTGTCTCTCCGAAGT